TGAGACTGAGGTTAAATGAGTCCTTGCGAAGAAGAAAGGTGAATCTTCCACTTGAATTTGAAATGCAAAAGCAAGAAAAAGTTTTTGCAGCAATTAAGATTGTAAGTTGTTACAATAGATGAGTCATTTTAAATTAATCAGGATTAAATATCCTAAAATGGTGAATGACCCTTGTATGTCAAAAATTATGTAAACATATGTTTAGCTGGGCTTAGACATCATTTTCCTTTTTAATTGCCAGGTGTATGTATTCACCAGAGAGAGTAAGCAAGAGAGAGAGAGAAAGAGAGTCAGAAACAAAGCAATACTTAATGGGGTATGATCATTCTATAATCTTTTTCCTCAATTTCTCCATCCTGTCAGGATTTGGGGCATGCATGCATGTGCACTTTGCATGTTTTTCAAGTTGCTGAAGCTAGGATTCAAACCATAGTCAGTCATGTGTGTTCTGGGTTTTTATGCAAAGCACTTAACTTTTGTGCTACCAGGTCAGCCCTGTTTAGCATCTTTAAACCATGATTATTGCATTAAATGTTGCTTTTCAGAGAGTAGTTTAAAGATGGTGCAGGGTAACACTCCCTTATTCCAAAGGTATCTATGTCCTAATACCTGGAAACTTTGTTATATGGCAAGCATAAACTGAGGCTGTGAATGGAATTAAAACTGTTTGTCAGATGATGTTAAAATAAGAAAATAATCTTCCATTACCTTATTAGACCCAATGTACTCACAAGGTGCTTAAAAACAAAATAAGGGAGGAATAAGAATCTTAACAAAAAATACAAAGGAATGAAGGTGAACTCTTATCTCATACCACACAGAAAAGTTAACTCAAAGTTAACTTAAAGTTAACTGGATCAAAGACCTAAATGTAAAAAGATAAAACTACAAAATTCCTAGAAGGGACAAGACAAACAAAAGAAAAAGGACTAGATATTTAAATAAACTTTTTTCTAAAGAAGATATACAAAGGGCTAATAGGCACACATAAAGCTACCCAACATTACTAATTAGGGAAATGGAATCCAAAGCTATACATTTTCCTCTAGGATGACTGCTTAAAAAAATAGGTATCAGCGATCAGCAGGTGGCGTGGTGGTTATGGTGCTGAACACTCCCATTCTCTCTCTCTTTCTCTGTCTCTCTATGGTGAAATTTAAAAAATAAATGAATAAATAAATAAAATAAAAAACAGATAGCAGCAAGTATTGGTAAAGATGTGGAGAAATCGGAACTCTCTTATAGTAGTGATGGGAACATAAAAAGGTGTAGTCACTCTGGCCCTTCCTTACAATTTTACACATAATGTTACCATGGGGCCCAGCAATTCTACCCTTAAATATACACCCAAGAGGACTGAAAACATATATCCATTCAACAATTGTATATGAATGTTTATAGTACCATGATATATAATAGTCAAAAGGTCAAAACTTAAATGACTATCAGCTGATGAATAGATAAACCAAATGTGTTATAACTGTATATGGAGTTGAACAGATCTGTGAATAATAGAAAACCATAGAATAAACACTTTAAAAGAGTTAGTGTCTCTGAATTATATCTCAATAGAAATACTGAATCGAAATATTATAGATTTGCTATATAAGCTTCAGAAAAGGAATCATTTACAACAGTTGTACTCAAGGGAAAACAGAAAAGTTAAATTAATTGCAACTAACACTGCACTTGAATGCCACAACAATATTATGAATCCTGAAAAAACGAGGATGTGTTAATTAGTAGAAAAGTTTTTTACAACATGCAGTAGACATTTTTCTCAAGTTAAGTAATAACTCAATTAATTGAACAGTACTGTTAATTAAATCTGAAAGGCAAGCTAATGCTTTATGGTATGCTGATTTTGAATTACTATTAGACTGTAAATAACAATTATTATCTCAGTACTATCATGGAAAAAATAGAAATTCAGAGATTTTCCATGGATACCTTAAAAATCACATGGAATATATAAAACATAGGTAGCATGTTTCCTTCATAGTTAGGTTGCTTTTTGAAGAATTAAATAACAATTGTAAAATATTAAGTCATTGGGAAAGTCATGACACATTTTTCTGTTCTTCTATGCAATAATGTGTCATGACTTTCCTGACAACCCAATATCTTTAGGAAACGCATTGCATTAAAGTGAAAAAAAATACATTAAATAAATTACTGATAACCAAGAAAACTAAATGCTGGGGCCAGCAGGAGGCATGGTCGCAAAGGCACTGATCTTTCCTGTGTTCAAGCAGTTTGCGTCTCAGACCTGACTGCTTGAAAATCATGCCTGGCACATTTGCAAATGTGCCCAGGATCCCAAGAGGAGAATAGAGGAGAAGGGATTGGAGCATGGCCATTCCCCTGTGGGGTGATTTCTCACTTTCTCATTGTCTCTCTCTATCTCTCTCCCATGAACACATGTGCCTTATGGCAAAAAAAAAAAAGGAAAAAAACTAAAAAAGAAAAATATAATTGTTTTTAACAGATTAAACGGTTCTGTTATCTGACTCTCCAACATCCTGATAAGTGCCTGATTAATGTGGAAGAATATGCTAGAGTATATATGATTTAAAAGTATTTGTGTGTGTGTGTGTGTGAAGAGGTTTTCACTATAGGGCACGTGCGCTCACCAGACAGACAGAGATAGACAGAGACAGAAAGCGAGAAATCACTCCCCAGAGGGGATGGCCACGCTGCAATCCCTTCTCCTCCATTCTCTTCTCGGGATCTTGGGCATGCACGCACACGCGCCCAGCATGAGTTTTAAGCCACCGGGTCCAGGACGCAAACCGCGGTTGACTACGTGGGAGTCCAGCGACATAGCCATTACGCTAACCCTGCTGGTCCCTAAAAGTATTTGTTTTATAGGATGTTAAATAAAATTGGAACATCATTTTCCACAATAGAGTGACATAATACTATTTTGACTTATTAACTGAATATATAATCTTATAGGAGTCATGAAGAATGAATTCTCAAGACCAGATCGTGATGCAGATGCAGACCACAATGTCCTGTGAAGCTGACCCACATGGGAAGGCTCCACATTCACATCTAGAGATCTTCCCGAGTATGCTAGGCACATGCATGCGCATATTCCTGGGATGAATCTGGGGGTAGACTGTAGTGTTAAGACCCTGTTAGGGGACCAGCAGTTAGCACATGTCGCTGAACTCCCGTGTAGCTGACCACAGTTTGACTCCTGGATCCGGTGGTGTGAGCTCACGCTGGGCGCATGTGCATGCGTGCCCAAGATCCTGAGAGGAGAATGGAGGAGAAGGGATTGTGGCGTGGCCATCCCCCTGGGGGGGTGATTTCTCGCTTTCTATCTCTCTGTCTCTCTCTCTGTCTTTCTGGTGCACACACACGCCCTATAGCAAAAAACCTCTCTCTCAAAAAAAAAAAAAAAGGCCCTGTTGGGAGTGTTCTCTCTGCCTCTCTCTCTCACTCTCTCTTTCTCTCTCTCTCTCTCTATCTCATAGACAAAATAAATAAATAAAAGTTAGAAAAACAAAGACTGCATTTTCAAAATGGACCCTTTGGGCAGACTCTTTAGACTATTCCTTCTGACCAAATGTTTTAAGAGAATATTAAAAATCATGATACAGTTTAGCTAGAAAGCTCACTAAAAACCTATTTCTGTTATCCTGAAACAAGGTCATAATATACCAAATCTTCCTACATAAAATATCATGCAACATTTATATTAAACATCTTAGTTTCACTACTTCTATCTTACTGCCACCTATAATTATACCTACTATGAATTTTCTCCCATGTTATCCTTTGCCTATTAGGGAGAGGGTAGAGGATGAAGAACTGGAACTAAATAAAGTGTCTGGCACAACCTGGTACTTAACAAACACTGCTAAAGAAAACCAAATGGCAAGAAAGAGAAATGTCAAGAGACTTATAAGAGAGAGAAGAGGGGAGGAGAAGGCAAAGCAAAGATTCCAGGAAACTCCATACCAAGGTACATTAGCACTAAAGAAACAATAGGGCTACATCTACAAAGTCAAGCAATTCGATCAAATATTGTTAAAAGAAGTTATGCTACCTATTTAAGATAACCTTTTGTTTGAAAGTAACTAACTTCTTTTGTCGATGCCCTGAAATGTGAACAATGAGTAATGTTTTATACCTGCTCATTAGAAGTTGATGACTATTATCATTACCATCATCACTAAAAATGAGAAGAGAATAGTTTACTTCATGCATTATACCCTGACTTTTATAGTCAGTCTTTTTCAAGAGCTATATCTAAATTAATAAAAACAAAACCATTCTAAAATTACAACTTTAGATAAAGCTAAACAGAACAAATAGTAATTTCCAAATGTTACCATGGAAACTAATTTCAGTAATTCAACTCAATTAAATATTTTTATTAAAACTGTTCTGGAATAGTTTTGCCATTGAAGGCATAGCTCTTTGATTAGTTAATATTCAATTTATATTTTCTCCTAAATTTTATGGCCCCAGGTTTATAGTCAGTACTTTAATTAATATTTTCTTGGATCTGTATTTTGGAGGGTGATTTCTTTCTAAATATTTTGCCAGCTTTCCCAGTGTCATTGGTTTAATGACTGGTAACTTCACTCTGGTTTGCTTTTTTTTTTTTTGGAGAAGTTTTTGCTACAGGGTGCATGCACTCGCCAGACAGACAGAGAGAGACAGAGAGACAGAAAGTGAGAAATTATCCCCCAGGAGGGATGGCCA